CAGCGGACAATGTATTTTTGTACATGTTTTTAAAAAAGAGCTCTTTATGCCCTTTAAACTGACATGTGACAAAGTGTGATAAGGTCAGAAGTGGACCTCAGCTATTCACATAAAGACCCCTCTGGGTAGCCACGGCTTCTCTTACCAGTCTTACTTTGAAAATAACTATTGGAAAAAAAAAAAATCTATCATTTTAATCTAGAAGGCAGAAATCATTTAAGAGGTAGTTATTCTTTATCTTCATGTTTCCTCCGTTACTCAAACAACAAGGTTTTAAAGATCATTAGTATTTAAAAGATCATGAATACTGACGCCATGTAAGGTCAGTAAGTGGCGATGCAATTCATGCTGGTAACTGAAAGGAAACTGTGAAGCCGAGGCCTGGGGATGTAGCTCAGTGATAGGGCATTTGCCCCGCATGAGAAAGTCCCTGGGGCGGGTCCCCAGCACTGCCTGAATCAGTAAATTTAGATTATTGCCTGTGGAAAAGAAGCTTTATGCATTTAGAATTAAAAATACAAAAACAATTTTTATATGCTTGAATGCTTCAGTGTCAGCCATCATACATACACACTCACACATATATCCACACATATCCGTATATACCTATATACACACACACACATTTTTTTTTTAAACAAAAAAGCTCTTACAAATTGGCTACCAGGTGGACAAGAAAAAAAACTCAGCGTATAACAGTGCCACTTTCTCTTACTGGGTGCTTTTCCCTTCCTTTTGAGACTATTAGACAAACAAACCTCCACGGTAAACCAGCCAGCAGAGCTCCCGGAAGCTCTGTGCACTCTCCCATTACCCGGGTTTCGCCTCCCCAGCCCCCCTGCCCACGCAGGGGCTGTGTGAAAGTTATCTGGGACGCGGTCCTGCGTAAGCAATCCTCTTACTTGGTTGCACTCCATCTCCCAGCCAGTAAATAAGCGGTTACTTTTCTTTCCACACATAATCATGGCAACGGCAGTGGCAGTTTAGGAGTTACTCCAAAAATCAAGGAATTTAAACAGGGTAAGCCCTCAAACTGCGCGAAACTTATATGGTGAGACTTCTTCCATGAGTCTGTCAGCTGGGAACTGGGAATCCACATTCAAACAAATATTCCATAAACAATGTTTCAAGCCACCATACAACCAACACATCCCTAAAATAACAGAACAGAGTAAAACATTACACGGCTGTGATTAGGTAGTAAGCCAGGAAAGAGTATGTGCAAAGCGCTGGGTTCTCTGCTGGTACTCGAAAGAAGGCTGTTGGGTGGGGAGCCCACGCCCAAGCCCCGGCCCTCACGCGGCCCCTGCTGCAGGGGCCTACATTCCCCGCCTTGCCCCTCACGCGCCCCCTGAGCCATACGGCTCCTTGACCAGCTTCTCACTCGGGCAGGATCGCCCAGATCGCAGAGCTCCCACCTTAACCCGTGGCCTGCATGTCAGGCCTGCTGAGCCAACAGCTGGGTGTGCTCCAGCCATGTCAAGCTCAACTCATCATCACTGCATCCCATAAAATGCCCCCCCCACCGGGCTCCATGTTTCACAGACTGCCATCCCCAGCCACACAGTGCGTGCTGTTCCCCACGTCTTCGCTTTTACCACCACTTCCCAACCTACCAAGCACCAGACACCCAGGTCTACCTGATGGTTGGCCCGAGCCTCTGAACCACTCTTCTCCTCCGTCCTGGCCGGCCTTTCCCTTTGCTCAGCCCTTGGCGTCCAGCGGGCGCTGCATCTGGGAACGCTGAGCCTCCCTGGACACATGCCAGCACCAGACGGACCTGTGCAGGGGCCACGCTGCCGAGAGTGCAGAAGGCAGGAGCCAAGGAGAGGTGCCTCTTTTCTCGTGAAGTTCTCAGCCCTGGTATTAAAAACTGGCTCCAAATATTCACACTGTGCCTGCCGCATCATGCGTCAGGATGGGCAGTCTTCACAGGTTCTCTTCTCTAGGTTCAAGCCACCTGCTCAAAACGCTGAGTAATTTGACTAGAGCAACTGATACTTTCCTTAACCATGAAATATCTGACAGGGTAGTCACATAGTAGATAGGCCACTGGCACACCCATGTCTACAAATAACCCACTCCTAATACAAGATCTGTAAGGGCAAGGGTTTCATCTGCTTTATTCAGTGCTACATCCCACCACCTGGGCCCGGTACTGTATATGAAGGCATGCAGTGGAAGTATAACATATAAACGTATTTTATAAATATAGCAATCACCATTATCAATAATACAAACACTACAATTGAACAAATATGCAAATATATAGCAAAAGCATGTTTGCTCTTTAATGTGTCTGGCTACTTTACCAGTTTCCAGCTGTTTTTTGTTCCAATAACCCGGTATGCTACAGACATAATTATACCTACTGTAAGATATATATATATATTTAAGGGAAATGAGCCTTACTAGAAACGAGTCTCCCGTGACAGCAGGCTGCAGGGTGTTTGCTCGTTCTCCAACGGGCCGGCGGCACAGCCGACAGGTCTGCCCTCCTGCAACTCCCAGCCACCCGAGCCAGGGACAGCGCCTCCTCTGCCGGGACACAGTGCCCGCTATGGCCACGTACCCAGCCATTCTCGCTCCCCTGGCCTCCTGTCCCCCCATTCGCCTCATACCACCCAAGCCCATCCCACTAAGCCCTCCCAAACTATTCATGAAAGACCAGCTCAATAAACCCGACTCGGACTCTCCTTCGGAGTGACTACAGCAGGTCCCGTCCCCGACCCTTAATTTGGGCTTGCACTGTGTTCTTTCACAGGGTCATCACCGTCTACCTAACAATATCCTCTCAAAAACAGGTCCAGGTAAGCAACGCATTGTGTAGCTTATGTGAATGCCCTCTGCTCTATCTCGGGGAATCCGGAGTAACAGGTGTGCCGCTTTTAACCGGTGTTATCACTGCTTCACTGTAGCAAGCCAGTCTGCTGCCAGATACGGAAATGAAACCTCCACGTGGAGTAGGTGCTATTCAGGAGCGAGCCTTCTTTTCACGTTCTTTGCTGGTGTCTGCTCTAACAAGAGTAATGTCCAAATATCAATACACTCCTCAGCAGCTGTTTCCCTGCGATGACTCTTATTTTGGCCTTAGGCAGCTTGTAAACCAGCCACAAGATGAGCATTAAGTTACGAACTGAGAAGAAAGACAATCTTCTTAGACATACTAAGTTTGCTCCTGTAAAGACACACAGTGCTCAGGACTTTCTCACTCTGTATACATTACTGTTTTCAGTATGAGGTCAGGAAGGGTCAGCGGCTGTCTCACTGACGGTAAGATTTATGCAAAGAAAACTACTTTGAGAAGAATTGGGCGGGAAACTCTGCTTTACAGCCAGAACCCACAAGTCAGCAAATCAGTTCAAACTGCTGAACTACCACTGACCATTAACCGATGGTCAGAAATTGGTTCTATCACGGCCAGAAGCAGACACCATGCTGCGTATCTGAAAAATCCTCACTGGGGCGGAGTCAGAGGGTCGTAGGCTGAGGAATTCCCTCCAGACCTGACTCTCCACCTGTGCAGAGGTGAGTGAGAATGCAAAGCACACAGCCATTTATAAAAGGAAAAGATATAAAAATAAAAACATAAGCTCTCCTACTCTGAGTTGAAAGTAGGAGAGACGCACAATCCCTTAGAAATAAAAAGTTCTGAGAAGAGATGGTCACTCATATAAAAAACAAAACACTGTGAATGTGTTTTGTGCTCTGAATGGAGGAGAAGTGACAACAGAAGACCTGGGTGTCAGTCTATGCTATAAAACTGTTCTCTACTCACAACTGAGGGGGAACTTCTGAAATTCTGGTGTCAAACTATTGCATGATGGAAAAGCAAGAACAGTAAACATTAAGTTGGTCTGTACTTTACACAGAGTGACTCTGCACTCACACAAATATTAATAAATTGCTGATACAGTGAGGCTACTTCTTTGTAGAGTAAGCATTCTTAATTTAATATGGAATAATGGTGGAAGTGCATCACTATTAGTAATATAAAAAGTTGCAGTATTATAAACACAGTTTTCCAGAACATGCCCTACACACACATGGCTAGTACCTAGAGGCAACCCACAACGACTTCTGTGTTGACCACGTTTGGGGACAGAGCACCAGAGACACACGCTGTCCACGAGCAGCTGCACATTCTGCGAGGTTCTGCAGGAGGAAGCTGGGTGGGCTCTGTCAGCCAGTCTTCCTCAAGATAACCGACGGGACACTTATTCCCAAGATGAGTTACTAATGCATTTTAGAAATGCTAATAAGACACGCATGTAATCAATACACTCCCTTTTCTGCTTAAGTCAGGATACACTTAACCTACAGAGTCCTGAGTTAATGCCAAAGCCAGCTGCACTGCCAACTGGGCCAGCCAATCCTCTCCCCACCAAATCTAGCTTCCCTCTAGGAAGTTTAGACTAGTGAAGAAAGTCTAAGGTAGGTACTGAATCCCAGTACTGTACAATCACTAATTGAATAATGAACTTAGGTGATACCACGTGTGTGAGCCTCAGTAGAGTACTGGCGTGAGAGGTAAGTGGGAGATCTTTTCCCAGAGCAACTAAGTAGAGCCTGGCATAGAACTCTATAGAACTCAACAGATGGTAACAATACTCCTGCTCTCTACCCTGATAGGGTGCTAAATGAGATAGGATACACAGCATCTATTACGATCCCTGTGAAATATGAGGTACTCAATAAATCAGGGAATGATACTCATGTTCATCTTATAACATTATTTTTCTCCATATAAAAAATAACTAAAAAGAAGGATATTAATGAACTCCAATGGCCTTTTTAACACTCACTTTTCCCGGAAGCTAGAAAGACAGTGAGAGGGAGGAAAATATGAACATACAAACTGATGACTGGCGCCAGGTAATTCCTAGCATCTATCCCACGTGAAACGTCAACATAAATGTAGGGATTTTGAGTCAGCCACGATGAAAGTAGACCACAACATACAAAAGCAGGGCCATTCTATAGCACACAGTAGGACTCACAGTATTGGGAACATAGGGGAGGCCATAAACTTTCTCCTGTGTTTCCTTGAGAATGTCTGTGGTTGACTTCCTCAGGGGATGCTTCCCATGGTAGATCTGATCCAGAGTGGCATAAAAAACCTAGACAGATGAAAACATCTATTTAGCTTTGGTAGTCTAGTCCCATGTTTAAGATGTGGTCACCCAAAGATGTCATAAGTACAATAAAAAAATTACAAGTCGCAGCTGAAATCATTCACAAACATAAATGCATACGATGCGAGACGTACTCCCTGCTAAAAGGAATGCTCTCAACCTTTTCCTGATTAAGGGTATTAAAGAAGTTTGAACCATATCCACAAGATACTCTTCATGTACAATGCTGCAAGTTAAATTTGGGACCTCACAACTGGAATTTTGTCAATAGATACATAGTTAGGTATAGGAAAAAAACACAGCTAAAACTTGAAACTCCCTGGATATAGTAAATCCTGTTTGGTTTCTTCCTGGAACCCGGGGAGATCTAAAAGACGAGAATTGAAGCAGTCAGAATCCTAGTTTTACAACCAGAGGTAAGAGAACATTAAGTAGGTGGGGGTGACAATGGAGAAAAGAAATAAAAATCTCGTATCTGGTGAGTACAGATGTTACACAGGATCCTGATGCAGCTGTTGGAGAGTTCAGAGCGACACGAGGGTCCCACATCGCACCCCACACCTGGTTTCAGGAAGTACAAAGAGAGCAGCTGTCACACAGGGACCGTCCTGGCTCAAGCAGGGGTCCAAGAGAGAAGGACCGCTCGCTCTGAATGGAAGATGGGGACCAGTGAAACATAATAGGTAATAAAGCATCCAAGACAGTTCGAACAAGAAATGTGCTGTTTGCAGAGAAAAGAGAACTAGGCTTTGCACAGGGAAACCTGAAGTAAAGTGCTTCTCCACTGCAACGTTTGACTTGCCTGTTAGCAGGTTTGGAATTCACCTGGTAGAAGAAACAGACTTTCTTAAAGGAAATGCTTTATTTAAAGGGAAAATTCTGACATGCAATTATGCCTCTGTTATGCATCTTTCAGATTTAGAAACGGAATTTGCGGAGAATGTGCAGCTGCTGACTTAAAAAGAAGTGAGGATTAGTCTGGATAAAAGAAAAAATTTAAATGACCTCTAGCTCTGGCTTCATCTAGATATAGCATTATGGCTCTAAATTAAAAAGTCAGGTTTAAACCTTGCCTAGAAAAGTACAGACGTTTTCTAAATATAAATCCTGCCTTCCTCTAATTGGTAATCTACACATATACAGCTAAATACAGCTCTTTCAATTCGGCCTTCTACAATGAGTAACAATGTATAAAGACAACCGGGGAAGCCAGAATTACTCAGCTTGTGTCTTGGCTATATTCTAACATCGCAGATTATTAGCAACTAAAACTCTTAATTCTAACTTGGTTTTTTTCTTTGCCCCAATCCATAAATAAGTCAGAATTCAAGAATTTCCTGTCTTCAATTATGCCTTTAAAGTAGTATAAACATGGAGTAACCTTTTGCATCATAAAAACAAAACAAAGTAAATGTGCATTTATTTCATGCTTATTTGCTGATAAACCAAACAACTCTTTCAGCCATCAGCCTATCTGGCCCCCTAACCGGTTACATGCTCCTGGGTCAAAGAACCTCAGGGCCACGGAATATGAAGCCTACTTTTTAAATAAGGCACAGTAACATTTTTTTCCAGAACACTATTGGTGCCCCTAGAAAGCTGCAGTAAGTCGCTTCCTTCCCACCCATTTGTCCACCGTGCAAGCGCCGTGTGGGAGCTGGACACGCACACACACAGCCCCGGCAGGAAACGCTCGTGGCCTCTGCTTCCCCTCAGTCCTCTCCCGGAGCGATTCCTTTTGAGGATGAGAGGAAGGCAAGGTTGTTTTCCCATCTTCAAAGAAGATCGCTGGAATGACTTCAAAAAGCAGCCGCAGCACAGACTTCTAAAGGCAACATTTTACTGCGGATGCCTGAAAATCAAGAAACTCTTGCCAAGTAAACTCATTTTTTAAAACATTTCTGGGGCTGGGGATTTAGCTTCGTGGCGCACAGCACCTGCCTGGCAAGCACGACGTCCTGAATTTGATTCCTGGTACAAAAAAAGCAAAAAATTCAGAAACCTGAATTACTGAATTAAGAAAATCAAATGTAAATTCGTGGTTTTATCTGTATAGTATGCATTTTTTACTGAAATACATATATAGATGTTCATATATATGTATTTCATATATATATATAATGCATATATGCACATATATTTGGGGGGGCAGCACTCTACCACTTGTGCCTGTGCTGTACCATCAACTGCATTCCAAGCCTGAAATACACATCTTTAAGGTACAACGAAAGTAGAACATGGGGCTGGGGATGTAGCTCAGCGGCAAAGCGCCTGCCTGGCAAGCGCAAGGTCGTGAGTTCGGTTCCTGGTACCGGACAAAAACCAAAAAAAAAAAAAAAAAAAAAAAAGTAGAACTCATTCATTACTTTCTAGGGACTGAATTTTCAAAACTAGAAATGGTCGTTTCCTTCATAAATAAGCAAGTGGATCGTCACGAAGTGAGTACTGCCTAAGATGAAAGATGTGTTTAGGTTATACTGACACAACTCAAGCTCTGATGAACAGTAAGAATTCTGTAAACAATCTGAGCATTTGTAAATATCTAAACATCTGGCATCATGCAGACCTGGTATCCAGATGGTTTGTAACGTTTTTCTTATACTGGCAACCTGGGAGAATGGTGTTCAGTATTATCTACAACTATGGTAATAATGTGTAAACGTCACCTCTAAAACCACAACATCTTTTTTTCCAAGAAAAATTCCTTTTATTAGCAACGTTTGCAGTCCACATTCGCATTCTTGCGTGGAACAGCCGCTTGGACATCACACGTCTTATCCCTTTCCCCCGACCATCTTTTTTTTTTGTCTTTTTGAGACAGGGTCTCACTGTGCAGTTCAGACTGGCCTTGAGCTCACTTGGTAGCCCAGGCTGGCCTCAAACTCACAATGATCCTCCTGCCTCAGCCTCGTAAGTGCTGGGATTACAGGCATGTGCCACCATGCCCGGCCTCCCCCATCTCTTAATCCCCTTTCCGTTTGAGAAAGCTCTAGCTACCTAGCTCCTAGTACCTATCTTCTATTTTGCTTTTTATTTATAACTTGAGTTTCTCATATAAGAGAAACCATGTGATATTTAAGCTTGCGGGTCTGATTTATTTCATTTAACGTAGTTTCAAGGTGCAATCACATTCCCACAAATGACTCAAGTTTATCTTTCTTTATGGCGGAGCAGTGCTCCATCCTGTGTAAACAGCACATTTCCTTACCCAGTCATCTGCTGATAGACGCGCAGGCTGCTTCCAAGATTTAGCTACTGTGAACTGCGCTGCTATAAACACGGGTGTGCACCTATCACTGCAATTGGTGTCTTCACTTCTCTGTGGGGGGCCTACGTGTGGACTAGCTGGGTCAAATGGGAGTTTATAGTTTGTTTCTTGAGGAAATTTCCACACTGATTTCCACAATGCTTATACTAGATTACAATTCCATGAACAATGCAGAGAAAGTCCCTTCTCCCTGCAGCCCTACCAGCACCTGTTGTTATTTGATTTCTGGGTGACGACCATCCTTTCTGAGCTCAGATGAGACTTCAGCAGTGTTTTAACTTGCATTTCTCTAATGGCCAGCAATGAGGAGCGTTTACTTCTTCATGTATTTATTGGCCACTTGTACTTCTTCTGAGAAGTGTCTATTCATTTCACTGTCCCTTTCTGATTGGATCTTTTCTTTTTTGACATATTATTTTTTTGAGTTCAAAATCATATTAAAAATACAGAATAAATAAGAATATATATGCTTAGGTTTGAGCCCTAATTTGGTTGCTTAAATATCTCACCCAGAAGTCAGCACTCCTCCTCGGCTTTGATTTTCCCCAACTGGAAACGGGAAACTACCCACTTTCTGTACTGCACGGGGCCAGTGTGAAGGCTGAGTGAGTCCTTTTGGCCAGGCCCTTTGAACTCAGATGAAAGACGTTTCAGACGCATAATTATCATAATAAATGTGCAGAGCTGGAAAGAACGCAGAGTTACACATTTACGTGGGATGGTGACTGGGGAACCTCGGAACTACGCTCCATACACACCTGGAGCTGCATGTCCGCAGCGGCACACACCTTCTTCGATTCGCAGAGCCGGGACACCATGGCTTTGGGCAGCGGCTGGAAGAGCAAGAGAAGGCATGTGAGCGAGCAGCTCCATCAGCCCTACACGTGCACACTGCAGAGCTGAACATTTAAACACAGCATCTAGTGGGAAAACACCTCAGAGAATTCCTTTAGAGTTTGAAAAGACAGCTTTAAAATATTTTAGAGACGACGCAAAGACATTCCATTTAATTTCGAAAAGTGGTAACTGTCAAGGGTTTGCACATGAAAAAAGGGATTACAGAGAATGACAACATTGGCACCGATCTTTAAACTCTATTTAAAACTCCAAAGAGGACACTTTCTCTGCTCCTTTGTCACCAAGGACTGTCTGTTCAAGTGCTCTCTTGACTTTTCAGTACACACAATAGTACACACATTAATTTCTTAATGTCAAGAAATTAACGATAATCCATGGTGCCAGCTGGAATTAGAGCTAAACTGATGGCTTGACAAACAGGCTTGGTAATGAATTGCAGGTTCTTATTTCTTCAACCTGAAAGGAAGCTTGGACAGAGGACAGGGTTCCTGTGTGACGTTCGGCTTTCTCTGTGAGGCTAATTGGGCCTAATCCCGTAAGACACATATCCTCTTAGATATAACCTAATAGGACAGTGAAAGAATTATTTTACTCAGTTTTTAAAACCACCAACATTGATGTTTCGTGAAGAAAGCTACCACTTTAATCAACTCTACTTACAACGTGAATGAAGCTAAATGCCCCCTATACAGAGAAGTACATTATATAAGCGGTCGGCAGCAGGGGACCCAGTCATCTCCCACCAGCCCAGGAAGGAAAGAGGGGGCTCAGATCCCAGAGGAGGACAAGTCACTATTAGGACATCCCGTGTGGCACGGCAGCCACTTGATTAGGATTTGCTGAGGAATGATCACAAAATCAGTCAGGAGGCAGAAGCAGGAAGGTCACAGGTTCAAGACCAGACTAGATGCACATGTTAGATCGTCCATCAAAATTTTTTAAAAATTTTTTAAAGGGTTGAAGAGTAGCTCAGTGACAGAGCGCTTGCCCTAGAATGTACAGGACCCGGGTTCAGTCCCCCTACTGAGCGCAAACTACGTAAACACCGTTCGAGATTCACCCCTTGAATCAAACACTACAGTAGGACATGATGACAGCTCACACACAAGTCTGCAGCCTTTTCTTTTCTCTTTTTCCTTTTGAAGAATAAAAGAAAGCAAAGCAGGCAGGAAGGGTTCAGAGTTAAGACAGGGATGAAAGAAGTTGTGTAGCGCACGTTCTGGTACCTGGCAAGGTCTCGGGTAATACCAAGTGCACTCATCTTATATGAAAAACGAAATGACAGAATTATTTAAAGCCAAGACTTAATGAAGTCACTACCTGCCAATAGCTTGTAGCAAAATGTTCAGGTCTTTTTAGACCTTACTTGCTATGACAGCTTACATTGATAGGATTCACACTATACTTAGGAGATGGTTCATGCTTCACAGAGCTTTAATAGCTTTATTTTTATATCACAAGTACACGGGGAAGGACAATGCTTTCTCGTTTAACTAACAGACAAGAAGGCTACTGAGTACTCGCCGTGTTAGGCTCGAGGGACTCCGATGGCAGCCAGCAGTCGGGTGCCGGCCGAGAGCCCCAACCAGCACTGCTCAGGGAAAGGCCTTTCAGTCACCGACGACCGTGAGGGCCGGGAAGGAAAGCAGTGCGGCAGTCTCACAGTCATAACCTTCAAAGGCTCAGCCGAGGAAACAACGGAAGAAGGATCTGCAAAATGAGCGGGTATTACCAGCCAAGAGGGACGGGGCGGGGTAGTATTTCAAGCAGAAAAAAACAAAAAGCAGGTGCCGAGGGCGAAGGAGGGCGGTGCTGCTGGCAGACGGCGATGGCGGGAATGGAGAAGCCCAGCATCCCGAGGGCGGCCGGGCAAGGCCCTCTACGCAAGCAAGGGTGCTCACTCGGGTTCCAGATCTGCGGGAAGGAATGACCCCACAGGCTCAGTCTCGGGTGCTACCATTTCCATGACTTCAAATTCCATACTGAAGGCAGGACGAAGAACAGGATGAAGACACAAGAGCCCAGAAAAACCGCTTAGAAGGCCCCGGTGAGCAGACCATGTTTCCTCTCCCGAGGAAGCACCACACTAGGGCGGGAACGAGCCTCCCGGCTGCCCTCTTTCTGGACACGGCTGAGGTGGTGGGCAAGACGTTCCTGTCGGTCTGAGGTTAGAAATGCTTAAGCTGGTTTAAGAAAAGAGTGCTGATGGGAAAGGTCCGCAGAGAGAAGGGAAACTCAAGATGCAGCAGAGAGAGATGTGTGCGCAGGGGTAGGCTCGAGCAGGGCTGGGCCGGGGCTGCGCAAAGGACAGGGAAAGCACGGCTCAGTCAGAGAAGCAGGTAGGAAGAGACCCAGGTCCCGCTCCAACAGGGGCCCGCCTGGCTCAGCCGGAGCTCGGATGGGACACCGTGGAGGTGAGGAAGGCAGCGCACTGCAGCAGTGCTAGTCAGCGGTGTGCGGAGCGGACTCTGCAGGTGCAGTCCAGGATGCGGCCCAGGGCGGAGGTGGATGGCAGGGCCAGGCGAAGGGCCTGGGAAAGGCCCGGGCTGAGCTGGGAGCCGGCGGGTGGGAAGAGGGAGCCACAGCTATGCTCAGGTCTTGGCGAAGTTCGCGCTTGGTCTGTGACAATCACCGGAAACACCAGGCTGAGCTCCAAGAGCCAAAGCCAACATTCCCCTGCCCTTGGAAGCCAAGCCCATACCCCCGCAATTCCAACCCATCCAGCGCAGGAAGGGCACACACTCCTGACACTGGGGGGCGGGGGTCCTAGTCAGGTTTGCAACAAAACAAAAGATATAAAGAAAAAGAGCAAGGAGGACAAGGACAACTGGGAACCGCTGATCAGAAATTCTGCATTTTAAAGGAAAAAAAAAAAAAATGAAGGCTACTCCAGGGACAAACACTGCTCTGGGAGGACACGGAGTAATAGGGAAGGTCAGGGGTCTGTCTGTATTATCACTTGCGATTTTCAATAAATCTATAATTTCTACGCACAAAGTACAAAAACACTCCAAAAATTATCGATCCCAGATCTACTACTGAATGTAATGAAACCAAAAATATTGTAATGAAACAAAAACTATTTACCAAAAATATAAGAAACATAACGGGTCAGAGTGCTTTTCTGGTACAATAGTTTAGAGGACATGAACATTAAACTGCATCTTGAATAATACAGTGACATCATGTGCAGTGTAAACAGTAAAATAATTACTTTTTTAAAATCTAGTTTAGTTGTTAGCAGGAAAAAATAAACGTATTTCACCTTGGTGGCATACATATTCTCTTAGAAAATACTTTGTACACAAATTCCCTATTGTGAATATGATGATTATGTATATCTAAAGTGTACCAATAACATGAATTTAAAAATACTTTCTTTTTAAAATAAAATAACAGGCTGGGCGTGGTGGTGGACGCTTGTAATCCCAGAAATTGGGAGGCTGAGGCAGGAGGATCACCACAAGTTTGGGGTCAGCCTGGGCTACCTAGTGGACTCAAGGCCACCCTGAACTACACAGTGAGACTCTGCCTCAAAAAATAAATAAAAATAAAATAAAACGCCTAATTTTAAAAACTTATTTCATTTTTAAGTTGTACATAAAAAAATTTTATATTACTATAAGATAAACAATACTGAGAAGTTAAGTCTTAAGTTTAAAGAAAATGTTTCCTGGTCAAGAAGTAACATTTTGCCTACAAGTCATGATAACCAATACTGGCATAATTCAATTTGGCTGTAATTTCAAAAGTAGGCCTAGCTGTGTAACAGTGCAGCTGTTTCATATTACTGTCTCCTAACTCAAAACCTGTTCCTGGGCTCTACTACACAAACAGAGAATGAATTCACCAACAATGGGTAATGAGCAACTGCTTATGACTAAAAATACATCAAAACACCCGGAACTTGAGTAATAACTTCCATTCTATTAAAATGAACACTTCCCAAAGCCTGTGACATTAGACATAATAATAATTTCTCCACGCTATCAGTTAAGTTTCAACACAGAAATACTCCCCTCCTCCAGTAATCTCGCAACCTAGGAAATGTAACTTCTGAGTTCTTAGGATCTGGATTACAATACTTGTTAAAGGCCTCTTACTACCATATTATGCTACCATGGTGGTGCACGCTGTCACCCCAGCACTCTGGGAGGCTGAGACCTGAGGATCACATGTTCGAGCCCAGCCTGGGCAATTCAGCAACACCTGATCTCAAAGTAAAACATAAAAATGGCTGGAATATGCTTCAGCGAAGGCCCTGGACTCAATTCCTAGTACTACAACAGACAAATCTATAAAGCAAGAATAAAGCTCATATTAACAATTCTGGTAAAGAATGACGTTACAAGAAATATCAGGACTGGAGCGAGACCTTCCAGACCTACTAGGCCATCTTCAGCATCCTGAACTCCCGACCCATGAAGCTGTTGCTTCTCACACCCAATTGATCCAGAAATGCCATCCGCTCCCTGGACCCTTCGCAGACCTGGTAAGGCTGAGCTGACCGTGGTGCCTCACAGCACAAACCTGCCTCCCATGAAACTCCCATGCAGACATGCGATCCGCTGCGGCATGAAGGAAAGAGCTCAGGCTCTGGAGCCAGGGGTAACCGAGTCTCTGTCCTGCAGACGCTGCCGAGCAGCTCAGCGGCCCGATGTGAGACATTCACCCCGTTTCCCTAACACACATTTTCCTCACCTGCACAATAGTGCTACCTTTTCACAGAGTTAGGAGAGACTCAAACAAGGTAACACATTTTTAAAACATAGTATGTCATTTTGAACATGAAGTAGGTGCTACATGAATAGTGTTACTTACTATTATAACTGTCCTGTATAATACATTTATACCTTACTCTTTTGTCTGTGTTATATCTGTAACTGCAGTCTACTTTAGATACGTAAGTCCTTAGGGCAGTACTGTGGCCCTGAAAGATCATGAACCTTTAACGCCATGTGACTTTTACCAGTAC